CGATGAAAAATCGTGCAGCTCTCAGCATAGATCCAGGAAGATCAAGGGAAAATCGAAGACAAATGTAGCAAAAGCGCAAAACCTTTCAGCAAATACACATTTATTGGAAATAAAACCATAGCTCACTTACATGTTAAAACACATAAGTCCGGCACAGGAGAAGCACAGAGACATCATCAGCAGATGGAGTGAAGCCGAAGACAAAGTTCCTCTCATGCCACCAAAAAGAAGATATGTTTGATCTGACAGCTGACAAGGACTAGCCGCCCTGGAAAGTTGTAGTCAGCCTCGTTGCGACTCCTGTGTGTGCCAGGGAGAGGTGGGTGGTGTATGGGATGGTAATGCATTTCAAAGGGAAATTGGGTTTAAATAGCGATCAAAATGATTAATAAGTGATTGACACTGTGGGGGACCCGATACTCAAGTAATGTATTGCTATGGCTGCTGTACCAAAAACTATTCTGACACAACAAGCTACCTTCAGAAAACAAAGTTGCAATTATTGATACACATTATACTGTGCTGGGGAAGGATTGTAAATAAAAAGAAGGGGCTATATTAACTCTTAGTGAGTCTCACTTATGTTACAAACCTAGGACTGGCAATTCTAAAGAAGAACCTAAATATAAACAGCATTATAAAAAAGGCATAAATAGAAGAAAACATGAAAAAATGGCTCTAGTTCTAAAGGACTGTGAGAGTCTAATATTATATATGTATACATATATGTGCCTCCTGTTTTGCAAGTGCCTGTTCTGCAAAAGATAAGGAATGCATGCATTCCTTGTGATAGAAATAAAAATTACATAAATTTAAAAAAAAAGTTTCAAGTGCCCCCGCCCCCCCTCCATGCTCACACATAGTGGTGAACGCATCTGTAGGCCACGCCCACATATGTTCAAACCACACATGTGAGGTATCGCCATGAACATCAGAGCAAGAGCAATAATTCTAGTGCTAGACCTCCCCTTCAACTTTACACTGGTAACTTGTAGAAATTTTTAAATCATCACCAATGGACATTTTTAAGTATTGTAGCTTGACGCCATTCCATGGGTGTGCGCAATTTTAAAGCATGACATGTTGGGTATTTATTTACTCAGTGCAACATCATCTTTCATATTTTACAAAAAAAATTGGAGTATATATTGTGCTGGGTTTTTTTTAATTGCTAAAGTGTATTTTTTTTTCCAAAAAACATATATTAATTTTTACATTTTTTGGCTAAGTGCATCCTGAGTTTTTGGTTTCGGTACCAGAATTTTTATTTCAGTCCACCACTAATAAAAATGCATACTCATTCATTTTTAGAGATGTGATAAAAACACCATACTTTAACCACATCCTAAAGGATCACAAAGATCCTAATCTACCTGGTAGAGCTATAATTGCTTCAATGGATAGTTTAACTAATGGCCTTTCACAGTATATGGATGCTATTGCCACTTTTGTCTTTGAGTTTCACATGTAGTTCTAGACTGATCCCTCACTTTTCTCATGATCTTCCTTACCCCATAAAGCAAAATACTGCATGGAGCTCCAGACCGAAGGAGATTGATGTTTATTTAGTATTTCTTCCATTTGCAAGAGGTGATTGTAGCCGTATTAGTGCATTTGCGACAACAACAATTGAGTACTGTCCGTGATACTTTTTTTATTTGCACTAACATACAATTTTGAGGACAAGCTTTCAGGGAATGTTCCCTTCTTTTTAAGAATGTTCCAAAACAGTTGTTTTGGCCACGCCTAATGTTTTTGCTATCTCTCTGATGGGTTTGTTTTGTTTTTTCAGCCTAACGATGGCTTGCTTCACTGATAGTGACAGCTCTTTGGATCTCATCTTGAGAGTTGACAGCAACAGATTCCAAATGCAAATAGCACATTTGAAATGAACTCTGGACCTTTTATCTGCTCATTGTAATTGGGATAATGAGGGAATAACACACACCTGGCCATGGAACAGCTAAGAAGCCAATTGTCCCATTACTTTTGGTCCCTTAACAAGTGGGAGGCACATATGCAAACTGTTGTAATTCCTACACCGTTCACCTGATTTGGATGTAAATTAAAGCTGACAGTCTGCAGTTAAAGCACATCTTGTTCGTTTCATTTCAAATCCATTGTGGAGATGTATAGAGCCAAAAAATGTTAGAATTTGTGTCGATGTCCCAATATTTATGGACCTGACTGTATGAACTTAAAATATGAAGCACTCTGGAGCATTTAAACAAAACTTTTCAGGTTCTGAAGCAAAACATTTTGTTAGCAATACAGTACAGGATACAGGATCTTTGGGCTTTAACCATGGGTTTTTATTATGCTACCATTCACCATTCAGGTGATTGTACACTGACAAAAAAACAGTGCTGCAAGGACATCCCACATATAACCCCTCCCACTCCCAGCTAGCCTCAATTTTTTGCACATGTCCTTAGTCGATGGATCTCTTCTTTCTACTAAGACAAGTTTACCTATTACTATGGAGGTTTATTTCCTCTAAGATGATTTTCTTTCACTTTGTTTTTATTGAAAGAGAGCAAATGTATTACATATACAAAATAGGATGGATTGCTTACAAAAAGTCACAACCCTTTGTCAGAATTGGGGATAGCATAAACATCAACATAAAAGTTTTTCTCCAAAATACAGTGCAAATGATACATTAATCAACAAGTGCTGGAGGAGTAATCCCTAAGACAGTGGGAACTAGGTTTGTACTAACAAGCCACACTTCAAGTTTGACCTCACCTCTGGTACCTCCCTGAAATTGTTTGGGTCTCGTTGGGACCCCAGCAACTGGGTACCGAACTTTGGGGTACCTTTGCTCCGGAAACCACAGGTCCCAGAGACCTGTTTTTCCACAGGGATGGTTCTCCTCTATTGGGTCGCCTCAACTGTTGCTTCTAGACACAAGGGTCTCTGTGCAGTGACCCCTCAAATTATATCAAAATAGACTTATAATGGGGGCCCGCGGTCCGTGGCATTAGGCTTATACGGGCCCTTGCAAGGCCTGAACAGAGGGCTTGGGTCACCTGTTGGGTCACTTGAACCAAGCTTGGGTCACCTGTTGCGTAGGACTTCCAGAGCGGGCACCTCAAGTTTGGGGTCTCTAGCCCCAAGGGGCTCCGAGTCCTGATTCCAAGAAGTGGGTCCATTCTCCCTCAGACTTGATTTGGGGAAGGTCAGTCAGCATGCTAGGTGGTACTGGGGCTTTGGGCCCCTGCCAGTCCCAAAACACTAGGCTCAGGCACACAAAACTTGGCACATGCCTAGCTGGAGACCTCTTTTACCTCCATGAAATTTTTCAGGTCTCAGAGTCCTGTTGACTCGCTCAAGTTGACCCCACTCCGGCCACAGTGGTGCCAGAACACAGTGCCCCAGTAACCGAGTTTCCACCGGATACTGGTACTGAGTTTGGTGGGGCTGGGTTCAGTGAGTCCCCAGCAACCCCTACCAGACATTGGGGTACCCTGAGGGGCTGAAACTGAAAACCCCAGGGACACCAATCTAAGGTCACCTGCCGAGGAGGACTTCCAGAGTAGGAACCCTGAGTTTGGGGTCTCTAGCCCCAAGGGGCTCCAAGTCCTGGCCCTGAGAAGATGGTCCATTTTTCCTCAGATTTGATTTGGGGAAGGTCGGTCAGCTTGCCAGGTGTTACTGGGGTTTTGGACTCCTGCCAGTCCTTAACCACTGGGCCCAGGCACACTAAACTTGGCACATGCCTAGCTGGAGACCTCTGGTTTCCATTCGCTCACCCTAGTTGATCCCACTTGGGCCCCAGCAGTGCTGGAACAGTGGAGCCCAGGGGCCCCAAACTCAGTGCCCAAGTAGCTTAGGCTCCTTCAGACACTGATACCGAGTTTAGCGGGGCTGGGTTTGGTTGGACCTCAGCAACCGGTACTGGCCTTTGGGGTACCTTTGCTCCGGAAACCAGAGACTCGCTTTCAGTGCTGTTCCACACTCAATAGTTGCATAAATTCCTCCAAAGCATCGAAGGTACTAGTCCAAATGACAAACACATTGTCAATATACCTGAACCAGCAAAGGGCATGGTTGTGGGCGGGGTGTTGTATAAGTAGAAGTCTGGTAGCGTCAGATGCCTATTGCCTATGAGGAAGTTGATTGAATGATGAAATGCATCAGACGGATGTGACGTCAGAGGTCCAAGGTGGATGCACATGAATCTGCCAATGGCTCTTTGTGTAGGATGGCATTAATCTGTCATCTGAATGAGCCTTTATAGAGTTGGGGACAGCTAGAGGTACATAAGATAATTGTTTTAGGGTATACGATTATGCTGTAAGATAATATGTTTACAAATGTTTGTGGGGGGTTTGTGCTGTTGTGGTGATTTGAGAAGCATAGCATACCTGGCAGTGGTTTGAACTATATTGTACTGAAAATGATTAAAAAAAAATCAGTAAACTACTGCACATCCCTCTACCCTACCAAATTTTTGTACCGATTTTAATTAGGACTGTTGTTGGGTACTGTTTTGTCAAAGCACTTTTTCTAATCGATCAGACCACAGAGGACTGTATATATAAAATATTTATACTCTTGTGCTCTTAACCACTTGCCTATTGGGCACTTATACCCCCTTCCTTACCAGGCCAATTTTCAGCTTTCAGCGCTGTCACATTTTTTTTCATGCAACACCCAAATAAATTTTTATCATTTTTTTCCCCACAAATAGAGCTTTTTTGGTTGTATTTACTTGCCGCTGGGGGTTTTATTTTTTGCGCTATAAACAAAAAAAGAGCAAAAAATTTGAAGTTTGAAGAAAAAAAGTTTCTTTGTTTCTATTATAAAATTTTGCAAACAGGTAACTTTTCTCCTTTACTGATGTGGTTGATGAGGCTGCACTGTTAGGCAGCACTGATGGGGATAGGCGGCACTGATAGGCGGCACTGATAGGCAGCACTAATGAGGTGGTACAGATAGGCAGCACTGATAGGTGGAACAGATAGGCTGCAGTGATGATGGGTACTGATAGTCAGCACTGATAGGTGGCACTGACTGGCGGCACTGCTGGGCACTGACTGGCAGCACTGCTGGGCACTAACTGGCACAACTGCTGGGCACTGACTGGCAGCACTGCTGGGCTGCACTGATGGGTGGCACTGATGGGCACAGGTGGGTGGCACTGATGGGCAGAGGTGGGTGACACTGATGGGCACAGGTGGGTGACACAGGTGGGTGGCACTGATAGGCACAGGTGAGTGACACAGGTGGGTGGCACTGATGGGCACAGGTGGCTGGCACTGGTGGGTGGCACTGCTGGGCACAGGTGGGTGGAACTGGTGGGTGGCACTGCTGGGCACCGATCATCAGGGTACTGATCATCAGTGCCTGATGATCGGTGCCGATCCCTGCTCTGACAACTGCCAGTTCTCGGCAGTACTTTCCCCACGATCTGACAGCGTGAGGAAAGTGCAGCCGAGAACCGGCAATTGCATTTCCCTGTGATTAGTGTGTCATTGGGCACGGCTGATCATGTGGTAAAAAGCTGCTGTGATTGGCCTTTTAACACATCACGTGATCAGCTGTGTCCGTAGGACACAGCGATCAAGGAGATCACCGGGTGTGCGCCCCAGGGGACATGCAGGAGAGCGCGTTCTGGGAGGACGTCATATTACGCCCTCCCAGAACTGGCCGGCCGCAGTGTAGCAGTCATTTGGCTATCTGCGGTCAGCAACTGGTTAAAATAAAACAAAATCTTGGTACAAAAAGTTTTGGCTATACATGCATACATTTAATGCAAATCTAATAATGCTTCTTGAACAACGCTATCCGCATGATTGGCTGTGCTTTCAGTACTCCTGAGTCAAAATAACTCTCTTGGTATTTTTTTGCGGGTAGTTCTTAAATGCCTGTGACCAATTCAAGCAAGCATTTGTACCAGTGTCGGAAACATTATGGACATGTGTGGCATCATTGGATAGTCCTTACGACTCCCACTTTAAGAATCTCTTGCTATGACAGCAACAATTTCATAAAGATTTGCTGCCAGTTGTCAGTTTAGTAAATGGCTAATTAAGACCAACTCTGAGTCGGCATGGATAGGTACACCAGTAACCAGAGCGGGCAGTGCCTTTGTTGGGAATCTGTATGTACATGATATGGTGCTGTATCCCTGGCTCCACTTAGCTGTCCGCTAGGAGATTTCCCATCCGAAAGCCTAATGTAAATGGGATAAGGGGTGATGTCATTGCCCAAACGTGGACAATGCCCACAGTTGGGAAATGACTTGTCATTCAATGGGCAGAGCCTGATGGGGAAGTGAGACTAGTTTCCCCATCAGGTCTGCAGAGGGCTCTTTGGAAAGCAGACATTTGGCTGAATAGTGCCTACGGATCCATTCTTTGCTGTGTCTGGCCAATCAAAAGCCAAGTGGAGCTGAACGGGAACTAAGTTTTCAGTTCCCCATCAGGATCCGCACACCGCAGTACCAAAGTCATTGACTGCAAGCAGGCTCAGCTATGTTCAAAGGCATTCCACACTCTGCACAAGACTAGCTTTATATTTGTGCGGTGTGGGACACCGCATATGATTCGCAAAGGAATCGTATCGCATTCCTGTGCACATCGCATGTGATATCTGTGCAGTGCAGTTTGAGCCATACATTTTGTATGGCTCAAACTGCATCACATCCAAAGGCAACTGCTTACTATCTGACCTGTGTCAACACTTGATTCGCATTCTTGGTTGTTTTTTATCCAAATTTAAAAGGTTTTATACTGTCGTTAAGTCTCTACCTTGCCTGCAGCAGAACGCATGGATGCTGTGCAATGTGGTGCAGGAAGATGCACAGGATGTGCTGCGTTTCCTGCATAGCATCAGTGTGAACCAGGTCTAAGTGAGACTTTGAGTTTTCCTGCCCTACATATAAACCTACATGGAGTGGAGTGGATACTTGCAGCAGAAGTTACATTTAGAAAAAAAAAAACAAAAACATCTGCCATTCTCCACTTAGCGATTCATCACTGACTCAATTCTTAATAGCTCATATTCTTTGGTCCCAATAATTGTATAAACTTTGTATTTGTAATAATGGAAAACTGCAGCATGCTCAGGGCACCCCTACTTTCAAGAGTTTGTTTTCAAGAGCTCATATTCTGCAGACAATGTGGGTCTGGCTGTTCATAGTCCGTGTGACCAAACTAAGCATGACAGACCATTCATAAGAGTTTTTAACTTAAACATTATCCTCAGACAATGGGGACATCTTCACCTTCATCAAGCTCATATCCTTTATATTCTCTGTAATGGTGATCTAGAAAGCATGCATTCATACGAGTTTGCAAAAGCTCATTGTTATGCAGACAATGTGGTCCTCTGTTGGCATTGCTCTGCATCTACAAAATCAAACAGTGCGTTCATTGCAATGGAAATCTGGAGCATGCTCAGATGAGTTTATATGAGTATGTTAGCCTAAGACAGCTCATCCTGCAGACAATGGGGACATCTTGTGGCCTTTTTAAGCAACAACAAGTGCGTGTAAACTATATTCACAGTAATGGTGATCTAGAGAGCATGCTCAGAAGCATTCATACAAGTTTGCAAGAGCTCATTATTCTGCAGACAATGTGGGTTTCTCTTGGCATTGGTTAGCAATTACAAAATCAAATAAACTGTTTATTCATCATAATAGCAATCGAGAGCATGCTCAGACCAGTTCATATCAGACTGTTAGGGCTCATGTGCACTGCAGCTGGTAAACTAACATTTAGGAGTTGTTCAGAGGTTTATTCAGCAGCCCCTGAACCAGGGGCGGACTGACAACTCATGGGGCCCCCAGGCAATAGGGGATCATGAGGCCCCTGTGTCCTTGTCCAAACTCAAAAAAGCTTTGAGCCTTGTCCAAACTCAGTAGGGGGCATCTCATGGGGCCCCCTACTGACCCCGGGCCCTCGGGCAGTGCCGAGTTTCCAAATGGTCAGTCTGCCCCTGCCCTGAACTCATCCTAACGTTTTCCTATGTGTCCATGTACACATCTTCGTTTACAATCATTTACAGATATTTGAGTTTACAGTCGTTTATTTGAATGCAGAAAACTTGCGTTCAGCAGTTGATTTTATCAGCGTTGCAAACTCAAAATGCTTGTAAACACAGCTAACTTTGGAAAATTGTGTTTATAAGCGTTTGAAAAATGTTCTTAACTTTTCCAGTTCCCGATGCATGCAAAGCATTTTCAAGGTACTCAAATGGACAAAACACTGAACACAGGATGGTTTCTACCAAGCTTGTCACACATTGTAATGACCAATTCACACCTCTCCCACACTTGTAAACAAAGGATATGTTAATGACCATTCACACCTCAAATTCCTCATGAAGACCCCCTGCCAGGTGGCCTTAATGACTCACTCCACTGGACACCTTTCACACCCTTGGAAACAAAAGAAACGTTAATGAGCAACTCACACCTAAGCTAATCTCAACACATACTGCTGTCTCTGCTTCTACTCTCTGTATTTCTCTGAAACAGTCTGAAATAGTTAACAATTTACCACTTTTCAGTGCATTCTGGACATTTGGGAGGTTCTCCTGTGCTTATATTTGAAAAACGCTTCTAAACGCAAACGCGCATAAACACGCATAAATGCGTTATGCAAACGTAGCTAAACAGATGTTTTTTAACCTACGTTTTCCAGCAGTCAATTTCCATCATTCAGAAGTGTCCCGTGCACATGGGGCCTTAGCCTAAAATAGCTCATCCTGCAGACAATGGGGACATTTTGTGGCTTTTGTAAGCAACATCAAGCTTGTATAAAAGATATTCTCTGTAATGGTGTTCTAGAGAACATGCTCAGAAGCATTCATGCGAGTTTGCAAAAGCTCATTGTTATGCAGACACTGTGGGCTTCTTTTGGCATTGCCCTACAGCAACAAAATCAAACTGTGTTATTAGTAATGGAAATCTGGAGCATGCTCAGACCAGTTCATATGAGTGTGTTAACCTAAAAGAGCTCATCCTGCAGACAATGGGACATCTTCTGGCCTTTCTAAGCAACAACAAGCTTGTAAAAACTATATTCTCTGTAATGGTGATCTAGAGAGCATGCTCAGAAGCATTCATATGAATTTGCAAGTTTTTAAGAGCTCATTATTCTGCAAACAATGTGGCCTTATCTTGGCATTTGTCTGCAACCAAAAATCTAATAAACTTTGTATTCATAGTAATAGCAAATGAGAGCATGCTCAGACCAGTTCATATGAGATTACCAGCTTAAAAGAGCTCATCCTGCAGACAATGGGGACACATTGTGACCTTTGGAAGCAACATCAAGCTTGTAGAAATTATATTCTCTGTAATGGTGATCTAGAGAGCATGCATTCATACGAGTTTGCAAAAGCTCATTGTTCTGCAGACAATGTGGACCTCTGTTGGCATTGCTCTGCATCTACAAAATCAAACTGTGTGTTCATAGCATTGGAAATCTGGAGCATGCTCAGATGAGTTCATATGCCTGTTAACCTAAGAGAGCTCATCTTGCAGACAATGGGGACATCTTGTGGCCTTTGTAAGCAACATCAAGCTCCTATAAACGATATTCTCTGTATTGGTGATCTAGAGCAGAGTTTAAAATTTTTCAAGTCCTGAGCTACTAGCCAGGCCTTAGAGTTACTCGCCACCACCTGTACACACACACAGACATGTACATACACACACACACAGGCATATACACACAGAAACATGTACACACACACACACACACAGAAACATGTACACACACACACATACAGACACATGTATACACACACAGGCATGTACAGACATGCATACACAAAGATACATGTACATACACAGAAATACAAACGCAAACACACATGTACATACACACAGACACATATACAGACACATACATACATACACAGACAAACATACACACACACATGTACATGCACACACACACACACACACACACACACACACACACAGACACATGTACACACATACATGTACATACATGCAGACACATGTACAGATACACACATGTACATACACACAGACACCTGTACAATTGTACATGCATACACAAACACACACACATGTACACGTACACCCCCCCAATACAAAATTGCAGTACTTCGTTGTTCACTCACAGAGCCGGGTACTGCACTCTAGGGGGAGGCAGAGAGCACAGCACACACTTCTTGCTTTGCTTTCACTGCGCTCAGCTATTGAGCAGTCTGATGTCTCCCAGTGCCAATGACAGATCTGGCCTGAGCTCCGAGCCTGCTCAGCAAGACGGCCCTGGGGGACACACTCGCCCCCACCATAATTTCCATTTGCCATTGGCGAGCAGGCAAGTGGAAATTTCAAGCCCTGATCTAGAGAGCATGCTCAGAAGCATTCATACGAGTTTGCAAAAGCTCATTGTTATGCAGACACTGTGGGCTTCTTTTGGCATTGCTCTGCAACAACAAAATCAAACTGTGTTCATAGTAAT